GATTATTGGATCACGATATAATTTAGTTTTTGTAAAAACAATCACGACCAATTACGGCATTGCGCTCACACCACTAGACGTGACATATGTCGTTTAGAGATAGTTCTCATACGCTATCTGCTGACATGCTTAGAGTTTATCACTCACCGATAAGTTTCTCTAAAATTTTAATAGTTTAGATGATTATTACAAAGCCTAATAAAGTAAAGGCATGGCTGCCAAATTGTTAAAAAAAAAAAAAAAAAAATTAGAAACTATATTTTAAAATTAATATTTAAAGAGTTTGTCAAGAAATTATAAATTATTTTTTTAGTTAAAAAATTTCTTTAAAATTGTCTGTTTTTAGCTTATAAGCAATCTAAAATTTTTGGTTTATAATATAAGAATTTTTCTATATATCTATAGCCAGAGATATATAGTTTATATATTTCTAGCTTTTTTGGCCAATCAAAGCACAGGAAAATTACATGATTAAAAGTTTATATGTTGATCTGATTGCCAATACAAAATTGGATATATATCACAATCTGGATAAATAAGTATAGATTATCTTTGATTTGTTTTTTTTTGATTTGTTTTTTTTTTCTTTGCTTTTTTTGTTTTTCTTACTAACTAAATTTTTTTATTTTTTTATTTTATTTATTTATTTAGCTTGTTATCTTTCTTTGTACTGTCACTATTACAGTTGGTGTCATTGCTGGTATCATCATTAATGTTGTCATTATTAAAGTCATTACCATTGAAATTATTTTTGTACTTGTAATTTCACCATAGCTTTAGTGTTGTTAAGGTTTGTCATTAGTATGCTATAGCTTTTTTATTATCGGTGCTTGTAATCTCAACTTTGCTTCAAGTGCATTGGACTTGTAATTTTACCTGTGATTTTGCTGTAGTTTGGTGCTTGTAGTTTGTTATAGCTCCTTCATCATTAGTGCTTGTGATTTTGCCATCATTTGTACTTGTGGTTTCATCATAACTTTTTTTGTTATTGGTGCTTGTGATTTTATATTGGTTTTCAATATGGCTTTTATATTATTGGTGCTTGTGATTTCACTATAACTTTTGTTATTAGTTCTTGTGATTTTATCATAGTTTTCTGTATTATTAATGCTTGATTTTACTATATATTAGGGATTGGGTTAGATTAAGATTAGGGTTAGAATAGGGTATATGGTTAAATAAATTGGGTTAGGATTTATTATTGTACTTGTATTTTTGTTGTAAAACATATATAAAGTTAGTTGTAATCAATCTTATTATGCATATTAAATTAATATTGTTTAATTAATAAAAATTGAAAAATTTTATTGATTAAAAATTTTTTAGAGTTAGAGGTTAAGATATATATTTTTGATCAAAGTATTGAAAATTTTGATACAGTTTCTATATAATAAAAGTTTAAAAATTCTTTAAAACCTTGATCAATGATATTTTGGCACCTACTTGATCAAATTCAATAAGGTTTTTTTATTCAAATTTTACAGATCTGTAGAATTTAAATAAAAAATTTTTATTGAATTTGATCAAGTAGGTGCCAAGATATCTTCGATCAAAGTGCTAAAAATTTTGGCACAGTTTTTACAAGTAGTGCTAAATTTTTTTAAAACTTTGAGCGAAGGTAACTTAGCAACTATCTAACCAAATTTGATGAAATTTTTTTATTTGAATTCTATGAATTCATAGAATTCAAATAAAAAAAATTTTCATCAGGTTTGATTAGGTGGTTGCTAAGTTATTTTTGCTCAAAATTTTAGAAAAAAATCAAAATGTCTATTAAAATACAAGTAGTGCCAAATTTTTCTAAAACTTTAAACAAAGGTAATTTAGCAACCACCTGACCAAATTCAGAGAAAAATTTTTTATTTGAATTCTATAGATCTATAGAATTCAAATAAAAAAATTTTCTTTGAATTTGGTCAAGTAGTTGCTAAGTTACTTTTATTCAAAGTTTTTAAAAAAAATCAAACCATCTATCAAAATACAAGCTATATTAAATTTTTTTAAAACTTTGAGAGAAGGTAACCTAGCAACCACCTGATCAAATTCAAAAAAAATTTTTTTATTAAAATTCTATAGATTTATAGAATTTAAATAAATTTTTTTTTTCAAATTTGGTCAAGTAGTTGCTAAGATATCTTTATTTAAAGTTTTAAAGAATTTTTAATACAAGCTGTGCTAAATTTTTTTTAAAACTTTGAGCAAAGATAATTTAGCAACCACCTAAAGTCAGGTGGTTGCTAAGTTACCTTGCTCAAAGTTTTAGAAAAAAATTAAATCGTCTATTAAAATACAAGCTGCGCCAAATTTTTCTAAAACTTTGAGCGAAGATAACTCAGAAATCACCTAACCAAATCTGATAATTTTTTTTATTTCAATTCTATAGATTCATGGAATTCAAATAAAGAATTTTTTTCAAATTTGGTCAGGTGGTTGCTAAATTATCTTTGCTCAATATTTTAGAAAATTTGGTGCTGCTTGTATTTTGATAAAAGTTTGATTTTTTTCTAAACTTTGACCAAAGATAACTTAGTGATCACCTAATCAAATCTGATATATTTTTTTTATTTGAATTCTATGGATCTATATAATTCAAATAAAAAAATTTTCATCGAATTTGATCAAATAGTTGCTTAGTTATTTTCACTTAAAGTTAAGATTATTATATTGATATCAAATTTTACTGTATATACTCTTTAAATTTTTTTTGCAATTTAATTGGATAATAGTAAAGTCTATAAAGTGAGGTCAGGTTTTGAATTACACAGCCTTTTTGATTAGCCAGTAATCTGGAAAAATGAGCCATGTGATTTTTACTCATTTTGATTGGTTAATAGGCCAGAAATATAGAAAAACCTATAATATAAATATAAATATTGCAAAAATATAATTCTTATTTTCAAATATATATATATAAAGAACCTGACTATTTGTATATTAAGGAAAGAGAAAGGGAGGTAGGCCTCTGATAAAAAATAATTAGATAATTAATAATACAGCTCTTACAACTTATTGGCCAAATCTAAATTACAAGAATTAGCTAATCTTGCTTTTTGTAACCAAAGTCCAAATTACTCATGTTTGATTTGCTATAGTAAACTTTACTTTAATACTACTTTTCTCTACAACTGAAAAACTTAATATATTACTGGATAGCTTTTATGTCTTAGCTTATTATAATCATCTCTTTTCTTAATTCTAAATCTTCTTTTTTTTACTTCTTGAGTAGAAAAAAAAATTTAACTACTATACAAAAAAACTTCAAAATTAAAGAAAAAAAGAGAAGTTTAAATAAAAAAAATATTTATATGAGATTGAGTTAATAAAAAAGGGGCAAATTTTTTTTAAATAAAAGTTTTCTTGACTTTAAGCTTAAATATATTTTATCAAATTTAATAAAAACCTTTTATTTTAATTCTATATAATTTTAAAATTAAAATAAAAAAATTTTAGCAAATTTGATTAAATAGTTGTTGAAATATTTTAATTTAAAAATTAAAAAAATTTCACTAAAAATGATTTGTTTCTTTTTTATTGATTTCCCCTCATATAAAGACTACAATAAAATAACAAAGAAAAAATAAATAAAAAAGAAAAAAAAAAAGCAGAAAGAAAAAAAGAGAAAAACAATCTATAATAAGTATACTATTATAACTCATACTAGATACAAATAAAAATTATATAACAAATACAATATTTGTATATCTCTATTGTAAAGCTACAATCAACTCTTCATAAGTGCACTACATACAAACCACAAAAAACCTTGCATTTAGAGAGATATTGCATTTAGGGTGATAAAAATCTATAAGTATATATATAGTAGAGCTATATCAAAGCTATGCATTTAGAAAAGTCTTGTATTTATGAGAGTTGCATTTAGAAAAGTCTAACTATACGTCTTAATGTTAATTTTTCTCCAATTTCCGGCCAACTTCAGATACCTCTTTAGCCCAAAACCCAATCCATGTCACGTGAAGTAGCACTATATTTGCAAGAAAAAAATTTTTATTTAAATATTTTAAATTTTTAAAAAAATAAATCATAAGCAATATAGCAATTTTCTAGGCAAATTTGTCTGAAATTGCCCACAGATAATAATCATCTGTAGTAAATTCTAGTTATTTTTTATTTTATTTTTTTACTTAATTTTAATTATATTATTAACTTTTTTTAATTTTATTTTTGTATATTTTTTTTTCATAAGCTCTTTTCAAATTACTAACTTTTTTTATTATGTTATTATAAGCAAAATTTATTACAAAAAGCAATTGGCACTATAAAAATTATTTTTATACATATTGTTTATCGCATTATAACAAATTATTTATCAAATCATATTATATTTTTAATATTCTAATTATACTTATTAACAAAATTACAAATTTTCAAAATAAAATCAATCCAAATCCCAAACTCAAATCCTAAATAAAAATAATAAAATTCCAAACCTCATAAATTTCGCAAAGTATAACTTTTAATAGCCTATTAATACAAAATAAAAATTATCAATTATAAACTGTATTTAATATCTATTATCACAATTAATATATATAAAGCTAACTCTATATCACGATAAATTTACACAATCATGGTGACCTAAAACATCTTTCACCCTGAGTTTCTAAATTATTTCCCCACCACTCTGGAAATGATACCTATAAAAAAAAATATACATTTAATTATGTTAACAAATAAATCAATAAATAGATAAAAATTAAATCATACTTACGTTAAACAAAACATTAAAAAGAAAAAATATAACCATTGTTACTATCTGAGAAGAGCTATCAAATGCGGCAGAAAGCACGTAATTATACCTGTGTTATACAAACAAAAATTAGAATATAACTATATTTAAGTGATATATGTAAAAATAAAATGCTTACTTCTTCCACCACTAAATATCATAGATAACCAAACAGTTATAAATACATTAACATAACTTTTTAAAAAGACAAAATGAATTAATAAATAAAAATTCAACCTTTGGATATCGATGAAATGCCCATCGTTGACTCAGATAGCTTGCAATAAACCCTGTTATTATGAAATTAGTATATGTTCCAGGAAGTATTGATAATCCATTACAAATTAATGGAATTGTTACTAAATTAAATTTAGCTTTGGGAAATTTTTTGTGCAAAAAGTAAAATGGAACAGGAGCAAGGAATCCTATGAGGAATCCCCAAAGTAAGGGATGATACATAGAATCCTGAGTAAAAATTTAAGGTAATAATTAGAAAAGAGTGACATAAATTTGAATTATAAAAATAATTTAAATAATTACACTGCCAAAAGTTCTTCCTGGTCCAATTAATCCCCAGATTATTGATGCTGTATTAAATACTTGTGATCGATATCCTGTCCATTGACCAGTTGGATCTCTCATTGTACCATCTAAAAAGGGACGTTTGGCGTATATTATCAATTGTAGAGTCCAATAATTGATAAATGCACCAACAACAGTACCCCACATTTGTGCTGTAAACATTGCTTTAGGTGGAATTTTCATGTAATGTCCTAATAAAAAAAGCATCAATAAACATAAATAATATGTATGTATACAGTTGATACTATCTGATTGAATTAAAAAATAATGCATTTTGCAGAGTTTGAGTGCTAAATGCATAAAAATAAGAAATTTTCATGCCCACAAAATTGTATGCAATTAGACAGTATCAAATGTATGATAAATTTAAATTTATCAAAAAATATTTCATATAGCTACCAAGTTTAAGATCTGATACGAATGATAGGCATTGGTACATAGCCATATAGCCATAACATTTAAAATATACATTTGCGATTGGGAGTCCCGGAAAAATATATCTAGTTTATATGTGGCTAAAGGTAAGTTATAATTTAAAAGAACCAAATAAGAAAATATAAATTTCATTTACCCGCAAATCATTTCTGTGATGACGTTAAGACCAACTTGATTATTTGACACAGCTTGAATAATTCCTTAAAGTTTCATTAGAAAGGTTAATAGATTGTAAATATGAAAGTAAATTATGTATATAACATTACCTATTGGTAATACCATAATGCATGCTATACCAACAGCGATAATTAAGCCCCACCACGGCAGACGAGATCCGGATGCGTCACAAAGAAGTATTGCGATCAATAACATGAATATAAATATACAGGCATACCACCAATTTGGAATCTCTAAAGAAAATACGCATAAATAAAATAAATAAAATAAATAGAATAAATAGAATAAATAAAATAAATAAATAAATATATATAATAATTTAAGAAATTAGATGTCTCCTAACCTTCATAATTTCTCATCATTTTACAATGAATATCTTCAACTTCCTCTGATCGACTTGCTTTGAATCTATCCCAGATTTCATTACCGTAAAAGAGAGCAACGTGCGTGATTGCAGCAGTAAATGCTATAAAAGAATAAAAATACCCAACAGCGAATGTAACACTTAGATACACAGGGCCATACTCTTTATAAGCAGTTTCGTTCAAAGAGCCAGTGTTAAAATCTATTATAGTAGATTGATTATATCTAGACCATGAAATTAAATATTAAAATTATATTATATAAAATAGATCAACATTTTTATAATATTTTTGTTTATTAAGAATTCACCTTTCACCATCTTTATTTAAAGAATATGTTGCTAAAAGTGGAAATTTTTTTGCCATCCTAATGAAAAAATTTAGTAATGAGAAATATAATAAAGTTAAGCTTAAAACATTAATCATTAATCATATTAATTCTTACCAAAAATCATTGTAATACAGAATTGGAGCTATTATCCAAGAACCAACTATCACACCAACGTACCAATTTACTTGTGCCCACCTAAATTATTAAAAATGATTATATTCATGTTATTATATGTCTAAACATATTTAATGATGCACAGACTGATCTCTGAATTCATTCATCCTACCAAGGTGTATACAGTGGTCCAGGTTGTCCTATAGCATTCCAATCTAAAGAAAAATTTAATATACCAAGACCATGATAACCACTCCCCAGCCGGAATATATCATTATTATATGGCTTAATCAGACATAATAACGCTATGCTTGTCAGTAATGGGAACATAAATTGTGGAACAAATTGCCACACAAACATTATCGTAAATGTTGTAATAAAAAATTTTAATTTGTCTTGTGTATCGGACACATCTCCATGAAGAGTTGAAAATAGACTGGAAAACACCAAATTAGAAGGCCACTATAAATGAATTAAAATTAATATAAAACTTAGTTAACTAAGAGAAAACGGAATATATATATATAATGGGAGTGAGTCAGTAGAAACATACCAAATTTTTTTAATTAAAAAAATTTTTTTTTTGAACTTTTAAACAACAACAAGAGTTTTAACCCAATTTGATATAAACTTTTTTTTTTAAATAAAATTCTGCAAGTTTATGGAATTGATTTATTATATTATAATGTAGTTGAGCTATCTTTGTTATCTTTGTTCAAAGTTTTAAAAAAATTTTATTTAGAAATTTGGTTCGTTTCTACTGATCCACTCCATACGACTATTAAAGGAATTAAACATACCAACATATTAGCAGGCCGTACAAGGTCTATTCAATTGTAATATATTGTTATTAACAAATTTAAGATTAAAATAAAGAATCAAATAATAACCTACATTTCCTTAAAAATCCGGCCAAACCGTACCCAATCATCTGAGTGCTCATTAAAAGCAACATTCCTAAGAAGAAACCTGGATGCTGATTATAAAATAGATCCTGTATTGCAATAATATCCTATAATTTGAGATAAAAAAATGTTAAAAGAGCAACATAGGGAAGAAATTAGAATAATATAAAAATTATTAACTGTGCCATATGCTGAGCCACCACCAGCCCCAGCTGCCACAGCGATGAGAACATGTTCTTTGATATTAAATGGACCTGTTTGAAAAAGATTATGTGAAACAGAAAAATCTTGTAACTGATCAAGTTATCGAAAATTTTGTAAGATATGAAATGTTACCAGGATTTAAAGTAAATTTCCATTTATAAAATTTGAATTCGTCCACTGGAAGAACACGAGCCATCCATTTTCCAACAATATAGGAAGCCAGTAACACAAAAAATATTGAATAACCAACGCCATTAGAACGAAAATAATAGAATTCCGAGACAGCGGCACCAAGTGATGTAAATAACTAGAAAAAAGGTTACAAATTAAAATAGTGGAAAGAGAATAATTTTACATAGACTAACATTATAAAAACATACGGTGCTCAATACCCAAAATCGAATTGTAGTACAAGGTAAAGACGGATCATCTTTTACGCTGACTGCCTGAATTCAAGTTATTTTCAATTTATGATAAAAAAATAATTGAATCGATTAAAATTAAACATGATTAATTACCGCAGCCACCATAGGTATTGGTGAATTCTCTAAAATTTCTGAATCTATTGATGTTTTACGACCATCCAATAGATATTCATTGTCCTCAAGATCTCCAGTACTGGTTCTATTTCTCAAACCATAATCATTGTTATCCAGAGATTTGTTTGATATTTCTGGTAGTTCAAATTCTTCTTCTTCAGTTGAATAATTTTCAAGCTGTAAATATTTACTTTGTGACATTTCACAACTTTTATAGCGTATTTTTTATACACCGAGGAAAAGAGAAAAGAGTTTTATAAAACATGGTTTTTGTTTTTCAATTATAATTATCTATCAAATTAGGGGAACTCGCAGATAAGTTTAGGAGTTTCATGTGATTTATTATTTTGACAGTACTGCAGAATGGACATTTTAATGTACAAAAATCTATTTCTTTTTATAGGTATATGCAGTAACATCTAACCCAAAATTTGGAATTCATCGGCATTCACCAGAATTAGGATGCCATGCCTGATGAACTACTTATTGCTGAAGCAAGAAAGATTCTGTGAACAATTATACGTATCATGGAAAATTCAATGATTTTCCTGATTTTCCTGATTTCCTTGATTCCGCGAATAAGGGCATCAAAAGGGAAAAAGTTCTAACAAATTCTGGATTTTGATTGGTTATTTATACTGTAGATCATTTCTTAGCTTTTTAAAAACAGCCACGTGTAGAAAGATTTTATTTTTTCGTATGTTACACTGAAATCGTTACGCACTAACGTTATGTGAGTTCGGCCAGAATAGATTTAAATTTTAAATCGTAAATTATAATTTTTACGGCACGATGATAACACGACTCTTAAAGAAAGTAATAGTCTTTGATGCGTTCCCGAAAGTAGATTCCGGATATCAACATAAGAGTGCACAGGGTGGATTTGTAACTATTATTATATCAATATTTTTATGGTTTTTAATAATTAGTGAATTTCGAGAATACTGGAGTTCAAATCAAAAATATGAGTTTTTGGTAGATAGAAGCGTAAATCATAAAATGCAAATCAATGTTGATATTACCGTAAATACGCCGTGTATATGTGAGTAATATATATATGAAGTTTTTTTTTTGGTTTGTCTCAACATATTTACAAAAAAGTAACAATGGTAATAGATTTGACAGTTGACGTACTTGACGCAGCCGGTGAAGGTCTACATTTGACCGATGAACTAAAATTATTTCAGGTAGTAGCCATTTTTTTTGTTTGTTCTTTGTTTAATAATCTTTAATATCTGAAATTTAGTCCAACATTAATTTAGACAATATTTGAAGTCAGAGAAGCACATCATCTTGGGTAACAAATGATAATCCGTTATAAACATGTTAAACAAGTTATAGACGATCTAATGCTCTAATGTGTCTTTTTTTTTTCTTTTTACATATTTAGCTATCAGTCAGAAAATGAAATTGCACTAGATGTAAAGAAGATGATGGTTGATGCTGCCGCAAAAGTCATCGATACATTTGATCCAAATTCTAACGTCGTCGGTACGTCATTTTTACTTGTAGTATAACCTTAAATCAATTATAAAAACTTAATTATTGTTGAATTAATTGTAGATGATCAAAAGAGTGCATGTAGGATTTTTGGAACTTTGGAAGTTAATAAAGTCACAGGAAATTTGCATATTACAGCATTTGGTCATGGATATAGTGGATACGGTAGACCTGTTGCCGATAATAGCTGTATGTATTTCTTTAAACCATTTTATTAATTTAAAAACAAATGATATTCATTTTTTATTTATTATTCATAGCATTGAACTTTACGCATCGAATTGATGAATTTTCATTTGGAACACTGTATCCGCAACTCATAAACCCATTGGACAATAGCATTGAGTTAGCTGAAGCACGTATGTCTTAATTATTATTATATCATGATATTTAATTTTTATTTAATATAATTGAATTAATAATTTTCTCTGATGTAAAGATGTCGAGGCTTTTCAATATTTTTTATCAGTTGTAAGTATTTTTATTTTATTTTTATTTTTTTTATTTTTTTTTTTGACAAACAATTTATAATTTGTTTAAAAAATGTACTACCATTTTATTTGTAGGTCCCAACAACGTATATAGACAATTTCAATAGAGTTTTATTAACAAATCAATATGCAGTTACGGACTACACTAGAATAATCGATGGTTCAAGACAGCCTGGTGTCCCAGGTATGCTTATATATTGAATTATCTCATCACGTCGTAATATTTAGTAACTTGTACATATATTATATGTATGTAAAAGGTATTTTCTTCAAGTATGACATAGAACCAATTTCAGTTCGCATAACAGAGAGGTCTACAACATTCGTAAAATTCTTGACGCGTCTTTGTGGATTGGTAGGTGGTGTTTGGGTAACAGCCGGATTTGTTTTAAGGTTTGCAAATTGGATTTGGATGTTATTGGATCAAACTATTGGAAATGGGGTCAGTTTAACACGTAGACCAAATATAGATAGTAGTAATGTGAATGGTATGCTACATAATGGTGGTGTTCGATATAATTACAATGATAGTGGATTGCATAGAGGTGTTAATATCAATTTACAAAAGGTTGCCAGTGATTAAGTCACTGATGCATAGATTGGTAATATAATATTTTATTATTCATTTAGATAATTGATTTAGAGATGCAATAAAGCATTGTACTGTAAAAACATTTATTAGTTATTTATTATTTATACTATACTATGTATACAGTATAATTTGTTTAATAATTGAATTTTTTTTTATCTTTTATTATAAAAATAGATAATAAAATTTATATAAAAAAATACAGTATTTATACAGCATATAAGGGAGAAGATGACGAACTTAATATCTTTTCGATCACATCATGTGATATATTAATCGAAATTAGTACCACTTGAAACAAATGATACCAAATTCATTCCAAAATATTTCAATTTATTAAAAAAAATAAAAATTTTCTGCAGTGGGGTTCAGGATTATCTCGTGATCAGAATCGTTTTTTCTCGATGGAGGAATCGAATAATATAAAATCGTCAATTTTTGGACCCGGCCAGGTTATGTTAATCAAAAAAAAATCTTTATATGGTCTTATATCATTTTTTTAAAAAAAGATATTGGTTTCTTACTATTCTGCACTATACTATAGGTAATTTAGTACTGTATTATGTTTAACAATATTAAGATTCTTTGACTAAGAAAGGGTCAACGCCACCACTTTTAGCTATTAACTCTCTAGGCATAGTTTCTAATAATTCTGGTGCAATAGTAGGAAAAGGTGGTGGTAAATAATCCTGTGGAAAACATTTAGCACCTTGTTTCTTTATGGCATCTTTAATTCTAACAAATTGATCTTTAGGACCCGGCACAGCACCTTTAACATATATTAAATTTAAGGCATTGTCGATCTTGAGAACTTTAGAGCTTACAGTTACATTATTTCCCCCCATTCTACCAGCCATTTTTTTGCCTTTAAAAACTCTACCAGGACTCTATCATAATAAAGATTTACATATGATTTACATTAATGAAATAAATTATGGGCTAGAGAGAATATAAAACTTGAGTGGATCTACCTGATTTTGACCTGTAGAACCAGCTGAACGATGGGTTTTTGAAGTTCCATGTGATGCAGGCATGCCTTTGAAACCCCATCGTTTCATAACACCCGCAAAGCCTTTACCAATTCTAAAGTAATTTATAAATTAAACACTTAAATAGTTTAAGAAAACAATAATTTAAATCAAATATGGAAATTAGAAATTGTTATAAGATCTTACGATGGTGCTTGTAAATCTACATACTGTCCTGGAACGAAATGGGCAGCCTTAATTTCATGGCCTTATAAATAGGTGGGTGTTTAAATCATTTGTAAATAGTTATTATCGTAAAAGTTTTAGCAAATATTCTCACCAATAGGTAAAACGGCATCAGTCGTAACATGAAAATCACATAATTTCCATTTTGGAGGCACTCCTGCGGCTTTAAAATGACCTAATAAAGGTCTAGATATATTTTTTGTTTTATTAGAGCATCCGATTTGAACCGATACCAAATGTGGTTGAACAAATTTTTTGTTTTCCACAATTTGCACTACTTGAACGTCTTCCAACTTTTTTTTTTTTTATCGTAAAAAGATTTCAAAAAAAATTTTCTCTTTAAATTTATACTATCTGATCATAATTCACGGTTACCTGTAATACAGTACAAGGTTGCCTAACACCCCATTCATCCCATAAAGCAGTCATCCCTTTTTTTCTAGCAATAGCGCCTAGTCTAATCGAAGTTTCCGTCCATTGTAGCTTTTTTTCCAATTGCAATTTCCACATATCAATATCATCAGCTGGTTTTTGTCGCGGATAATATTTTGATAACACAGACCCTCGACGTTGATATCTTGTCGTATCAACCCGTACCGGTGAAGATAGAAAAGTCCAATCTGGATTATCTTTTGCTTCTATTTCATATTTATTGAATTTTTTGGGAATCTTTGGAAATTTTGAAGAGAGAATTGAATCTTTATATTTTTGATATTTGGAAGAATTCACAAATTGTGGAGAGGTGTGTACTGATTTAACTGAATTTAAGTTAATTGAAAAGGAGATATGTTGTGAGATACGAGAAGAAGGAGTAAAACGTAAAAAATGGCCGAGTGACATAACGATAATTATTAAGCCAGGATGGATCTAAACGCAAGAAATCAGTGTCAGATTTGATCGACCATCAGCAATCGGATAATATTCTCGTGATTGGGTAGTCACGAATTTGATTGGTTAATATGTAATCTATTATAGGTTAAATCAAAATCACAAGAATAACTTAATAAAAGCTTTGAATTAATTCTACAAGATCTTAAAAATTATTTAAATTAAATTTGATCAAAGTTATTTATTATAAAATATTTGCTATGAATCCTGATTTCTATTGACTCACCACTATATACTACAATATGTAAAAATAAATATATAAAGATTATTAAATCACAATATTATTTAGATTTATTTTTGTATATACAGTGTTAAATTTAAAAAAACAGATAATATATAATGCACCTATGGTGTTTATACAGTAGTGTTAATAAGTTTTTTTGCTAAAATTTAGGGTTAGAGTGCAGTTATAGGGTAAGGTAGGAGTTATATAAAAGGTTTAAAATTTAGTTAGCATAAAGTGTCCCAAATCTTATTTACTTAGTAAGTTTTTGAGATATATCACCTATAGTTTTCAACACCAATGGTGCATTTTAGTAGACCCGTAAAAAAATATTTTTAATAAAGACATTTAAAATAAGCTATTGTACTGTATTTAAATTTGCAAATACAATATTTGCATTTTACATTATATATACTGTATATATACGCATACATATATAGTATAAATTACTGTATTTTTATTAATTTCAATTTTGTATTGTAATTTAAATAAACAAGAGAATATTTGGTATTTGAAATAAGCTTTCGTGCTTATAAATATTTATTTATACATAAAGATAACACTTCTACGTATACGTATATACATTTGAATTAAGATTTTTTATTAGTAGTAAATACGTAGTATTTCTTTTTTTGATTTGGCACTTTAGACAATATAGACAATATTAACAAATTAATAATCTAATCAACCAATAAAAATAAACTTACATAATGCTTGTGTGATTATATAGTAGATGTTAAAATATACTACAAACGCTATTGGTTAAATCAATATGTATTATGTTAGCATGTATTATCGTTAACAAAATATTTCTTTCATTCAAATAAATATGGAATTAAAGACGTTTCTTTCATCCACATCGACATATTTTTATAGCATCTGTCCTCTTTTTAACTTTTAGCTCCTACGATAACACAAGAAGAATTCAAAGAATAATTCTAATGGCCTTCACAAATGTTTTAGATCGGAACCACATAATACGGGAGGATCAAGGTTCATTAGTGCTGGACGGTCGTAATACACCACAAAACATATCAATTTACAGCTTTCTTCTTGGTACCGTTTTTTCTGCTTCCGTTTTTGTTGGCTGGTACTCAAAAACGTTTTCTCAACTCGGAATTTTCTTGGCCGCCTTATCTCTATTTCATGAGTTGGAATATCTCTTTACGGCTTTGTTCAATGCAGATATATTATCGTTGGATTGTTAGTATATTTACTTTTGCTTCTCATTGTTATTAATTATAGACTAACGTTTTTTTTTCTTCTTAATTTAGCTTTTTTAATTAATAACGGTCAACAATATCATCTTGCGCACACTGCTGCTATAATAGAATTTTTAATAGAAGCCTATCTGTTTCCTAATTCCAAAAACATAAAGCTATTTTATTTCATAGGTATAAAAGAATTTCACTTTTACGCCCTTCTTATATTATGATTATTTTTTTTAAAGTCCATTTTGTATTATAGGTTTTATAGTTGTAGTAGTAGGCCAAATTGCAAGAAGCTGTGCGATGTGGCATGCCAAACATAATTTCACTCATATGATTCAATATCATAAACGAAAAGAACATGTTCTTGTGACTACGGGAATTTATGCGTAAGTTTTTTTCTCTGACTTATCCTCTTTAATCAAAGAAATGATTCTCATTATCTTTCTTTCTTTGCAGATATTTAAGACATCCTTCATACTTTGGATTCTACTATTGGGCAGCTGGTACCCAAATCTTACTTTGTAATCCAATTTGTCTTATAGGATTTCTTGTCGCAATGCATAGATTCTTTAGTGACCGTATTCGCGAAGAAGAACTTTTGCTTATCAAGTTTTTTGGAAACGAGTACCTTGATTACCAAAAAAAAGCTTATACTTGGATTCCTTTAATTAAATAATTTAGCATTGGGTGAATTGAGTAAACCCATATAAGATATATTTTTTAAATTGTTGTTGGTAGCGGTTAGCATTAAAGTGAATCAAAATAACAAGAACATTAAGCATAACATTTAGCATTATTAGATAAACTATTATATTTAATATTACGGGTATAAATAAAGTTTTTAAATATTTAAATCTTTTTAAACCGCTTGTTATTGATATAAAAAGTAGAGCATGATTACCTATTCCCGACAACTAAAGACATATATTATTTGTACTGATAAAGTTATTTTATTAAATTACTATTAAGATTATCAGTTATTATGAAAATATTCCTCAAAAAATCTCTTAAACATCCAATTAAAAAATATACCGTTAAGCTTTTTTAACGCCCTTTTTTGCCCCATTACTTTTTATCATAACTAAAGCTAGAAAAGTGAATACAACAGTTAAACCAAAAAGTAATAAAACGACGGGAATTATTATAGCATATTTTCTGTCAGGAAAGTATTCATGTAATGGGTGACCATCGTCAACAAATGGCTATATGGATATGAAGTTTTTGTTAATTAGCAAATTAAATTGACGGTTATATTAAAAACTAAAGAAATAAGAATTTGTTGCAAACCATAATCAAAGCCCATATAGTATAATATGCAAATAAAGATGCAGAAGAAAGAAGTAACGTTGCGCCTATTGCTCTGTCCTGTCCTCCAGATACCTAATTAAAGAGAGAAGTTATAGCAACGAGCAGAAGAAATGAATATAATGCACTTTTACCGACCATATTTGATCTGAATCGTTTAGTGTGTATTCTTTTTTGTGAATCGACCGCTCTCTGGACCTACTCTGGACCGTTACGCTAAACCAGGTTTTGTCGACCTTCAGTCACGTTGTTACACAGCTTGCATTTAATCCAGAGAACTTGGATGCCTGAGATCAGTGTTGTCAATGGACATGGACATGTCCATGGACATTGGACATTGTGTCCATGGACTATCCATGTCCAATAATTTGCTTGGACATATGTCCATGTACAACACTGCCTGAGATAACATCAAAAATGACCATTTGCAATTTTATAGATTTCTAGAATTCGAAGATTTGAAAAATGGTAACCAATTAATGATACACAGGAAATATAAATTATAATACAAAAGTCCCATTACCGAAAATTTTTGGTGGTGTTCTTAGTTTATAGAAAACATCTGACTGTATATTTTAAAAGTACAGTCAAACCTCTCTGTAAAGAAGTGTATATATTACAGTATATACTGTACATCCTGCCCTAACCTTAATCTAAGATAACTAGCGGACTTAGCCGATTAAGTCAGCCGGTAAGAGTTACCAATCTAGAGTTTGGAACCGGTTTTATTTTTCATATGTTAAAACCGGGTTTAATCGGGTTTAGCATATGAAAAATAAAACCGGCTCCAAACTCTACACCAATCACATTAAACCAAAGCGTTCGGACAATTTGACTTAGTACGTTAGTGTAACAGTGTTAAAAATTTTTTTAGTTTTAATAATTTAATTAATATATAATACTAAAAAAAAAAATGACCGAAAATAAAAGCGAACCAGAAAAGCTTTTCCAAGATATTGGAGAGATTGTCCAAGAAGATAATGATGACGTGAAACCTACAGAAATTGAAAGTTATTGCATGAATTGTGGAAAAAACGTATAAAGCTTTATAAACTTGAAAATTATAATTATCATACCCAAAAATTTATTAATATTAATAATATTTTTTATTTTATCCAAAGGGAATTACAAAATTATTATTAACAAAAATTCCATATTGGAGGGATATTGTGATCATGAGTTTCGATTGCGAGGTATTTAATTTTTTGACTATGATGGACTATTAAACTAAGTTCCAAGCAATAAGATTCCTGAATTTATTTAGTGTGGCTTTAACAATAATGAAGTTCAATTCGCTGGTGCAATTTCTGAGAAGGGTTGTGAGTATACATGTGAAATTCATGATAAAGACGATCTTAATCGTCAATTGGTAAAATCAGAAACAGCATCTATCAAACTTCCAGAAATTGATCTAGAAATACCTGCAACCACAAAACGGGGTCGTTTAACCACCGTTGAGGGAGTGATTTCTAGTATAATTGAAGATCTATCGGCAGGACAATCTGATAGAAAGCTTATTGACGAAGACACATATAATAAGATTGAGATTATAATAAATAAACTTAATGATTATTTGGAGAATAAGGAAAAATTTTCTATATCAGTTGATGATCCGAGTGGAAACAGGTAAAGAGGGTTAGCAATTGAATTAAGAATTGATAAAATGTTCATTTTACTGACCTTTTCAGATTACAGTTATATCGAAAATTTGCTTGCACCTAATCCAGATCCTAAACTTCATACTCGATATTATAACCGAACGCGCGAGATGGATATTGCGTTGGGATTAATGGTACCTGATGAAACTTATAATGAAGCTTGCGATGAAACTCGTAAAGATGATAAAGATGATAAAGATGATATTCCGGAAGTTATGACATTCCCTGCTAATTGTTCACATTGCAATGCGCCGAGTGACACGAAAATGCATCTCGTGAATATTCCGCATTTCAAGGAGGTAGTGATAATGTCAACAGTGTGTGACGTAAGTATTCAGTTAATTTGGAGAATAAACGTGGGATACATTTTATAATAATATTAATATAAACATATATATGTATATTATTATATATAATATATAACTTATATATATATTTTTTAAAAAAAGTCATGTGGTTACAAATCTAATGAAGTCAAATCTGGTGGTCCAATCTCACCCAATGGTAAAAAAATTACGCTTAAAATGGAAGATATTGAGGATTTATCACGCGATATACTTAAGTCAGAAACATGTAGTCTATTGATACCTGAAATAGAACTTGAACTTCGTTCAGGTACGCTCGGAGGACGATTTACCACAGTTGAAGGTTTATTCCGTCAAGTTTATGAAGAACTTAAAGAAAAAGTTCCATTTGTTAGCGGGGATAGTGCTCAGAATGAACGTAAAGCATCATTTGAGAAATTTTTGGCTAAGCTAAATAGAGTAATTACTGGTGAGGATTTACCAGTCCATTTAGTGCTTGATGATCCGCTCACCAATTCGTATTTACAAAATCCTTACGCGCCAGGTAACATTTTTAAGATTAATTGATAGAATATAATTGATGAAAGATAATTAATAAAAGATTTGTTCTATTTTAATAGATCCAGATCCAAACATGCAAATAGAAATTTATGAGAGAAGTTGGGAACAAAATGAATTTCTTGGTTTAAATGACGTGGTATTAGAAAACTATGAAAAAAATTGAAAGAAAATTATTTATTTATTTTTTGTACATTATTACATTTTCAATTTTTTTAGCAAAAAATAATCTAATGTTAAATGTCATTTGTTGATGTTATGTACAATTGATACGGACCAAGTGAATTAATGTGTGCTAAAAAAAAAAAATTATTAAAATTTAATGAATATGTCATGAATTTTTATGTATATCACTTTTATGTTTAGTCTCGCTATCAGGTTTACTATCTAAAGTTCCGCCTGTGCGATAGAAATATCGTATGATACCGCACAAAACAAAGCAAATTGTTGATACTCTAAATATAATCGGAATATGTTCATTTTGGGTATTAATATTGTAGGATCTTGATAAATTTTCGTCAGTTTGTAGCTTATTGACAGTTGGAACGATTCCTATGAAGATCGCATTGGTAGGTTTCAGCATTTCAGAAAGATTTGGGGATTGAAGTTGGTTTTGAGAACTGTTTAGATTGAAGGTTGGAATAACATGAGAAGTTTTCAAAAATTTTTTCCTTCTAGTGGTCGGATATCTTCGACTAAATGGTTGACCTGGCGGAACATAATGTGGGTGGAAAGGAATTTGAATCGCTGAAGCATAACACCGATTGCTTAAACCTTTATTAATTAAGTGGTTTGTTAATTTTTGTTTTTGAGAGTAAAACATTTTTAAAAAGTTTATGCATTTTTGAGTACGGTCATTCAATAATTAGATTAGTAATTTAAAGGTAACTTTTAATTTTTCATTTCCAATATAAGGATATTCAGAGATTATCCTCATATCGAAAAATTAGAATTGATCACCATATTAATAACGATAACAATGAGTAAAATATTGACCTAAAATGTAATGCAAAATGTTGCTGACAAATATTTCTGATACGTAGAATTACTGATTTTTCTTAAAATAAATGAATGCTACGTACGTACGTACGTAAAGTACTCGAATATTTTGAATATTTTACGTATATACTAGTGATGTAGTAGAATCGTTCCAATGATAGTCGTAACTAGTTACGACATAAGCTTTAGCTAATTAAGGCTTAAGCCGTGAGATTATTCTATTGCATCATTAGTATATATTAACATCAATTTATATTTGGTTACCAGATTACTATTCTATAGTCGATAGTCATAGGCAGACATTCGTATGATTGGCAGTTTAAATCAATTTAATTTTACATTATTTATACAGTTTAAAGTAC